TCTGGGGTCGAAACTCACATCGTTCCGGGCACTATGATTCCAGTTGTCTGCCTAGGTGCTACCGTACGTCTGCCTCGTGCATACTTAGAGTATACAAGACAAGTCATGTGGAAAGATCCCCAGCTTTGGAAATTCTGCGTTAGCCTTGGCCTATGCAAGTCTCGATCGTTATCACAACCTGTCACCTGCTGACCCCACTTGCTGAGGCCCTTATTACACTACGGTAGCCGGCTCGCGTCTCCGTCAAAGCGTGGTAACGCTACCGCAAAAACGCATCAACGAGGTATTACATGAGTCTTGCCGTGATGCTACAGAGCTGCGTCACTTGCATTGATTCTGTACTCGAAAAGGCCCTGTACATGCACATGACTGGACGTACACGCGCACTACAAAAAGACCTTGGCTTTGGTCTGTACTGTTCAACAAAATGCACTGAATCTGTACAATGGAGAAGGAGGGCAAGTGACCATGCATCAAGGAGATTCAGCTGGCTGTTGCGCCTCGAGTAGGAAGGGAGTTCCTTCACCGAAAGCCAGTTTCGCATGAACGTCAGACTCGCTTGCGGCGAAGTCCTTTTCAACCAACTACATGTATATGTACTTGTAACCGAGGTGTGAGAAACGAAATTTGTGGACCAAATTGCTCAACTCACAAGCGACCTGCATAGTATCCTAGGTCAACAACAAGCCTCTTGGACTGGGCCAGAACATTTCCTCACATAGATCCGTTGATCTCTCCTTCATCACGCCCAGCTTGTGTTTGCAGCTTTCCGGCTGCGATCCTAGAGTGCAAGTTTCACCTCGGTTGAGGCGCTTGTTTTGCCTTGTGCGCATCTATTCCCGATCATCTTCACAGAATCTGAAAGAACTTGCTTCTATTTATTTCGTCTAGTTTCTCGTTGGAATGCTAAGGGTCAAATCCGGAGCTAATTTCAAAAGTGAACACAAACTGACCAAAGGAGCACTCGGAAAGATGGGCGCAATGAGTTCACGTCTCACGGTACGAGCTCACGGAAACGCTGACCTGGCCTCCAAAGCCCAAGTCAGGATTTTCTCACGGCACGGCTCGCGTTTGGATTGCGTGACCCGAAACCATTGACAACCGTCAGAATCTGATCAAACGTAACGCGAAACGCGTGTCATAGTGTAATAACGGCCTAAAGGAACGACACACGCACACGCACGCGCACACACACACACACACACACACACACGCAACTGAACCAGCTCAACAGAGTCACAGCACAGGAGAAGAGTAAAGTACCGCGAGATGGAACCACCAACTCGTCCATTCGTAGTCGTGTTGTGGAGGTGGTGTCCCGTCTGTAGGTCATACGCCACATACCTTGTACTCACATTGCGCGCTGTGCAATCAATCCATACTCAGTTTACCTCGGAGTTCAACACAAGAACATTCTAAGTGTGACCTTAGTATACTAATTTTCTCACACTGCACAAACTAAATTGCACTCGGCCAGACGATTTCCCTTTCCCTGGCTGTAAAATCAAGGTGGGGTGCTCTCGCGGTACTTTACGGTACTGCTGGTCAGCAAAAAAAGGGACAGTCAAGTCGCGTGTTTTGTCAAAATTTGATACTGAGTCTTTCGTTTTCCCGCTCTGCTCTCTGCAAACATTTGATCTCATACAGGCAGCAGCAGCAGCAGCAGCAGCAGCAGCAGCAAGAGCCACAGCAGCAGCAGCAGCACTAACAGGAGCAACAGAGAGCCACACTAATGCAGAGAGAACGGTTGCACTTGCTGCCACTACAGCTTTCTCCGGATACTCTCACATCGCCTCGGACCCCATGGTCACTGCTAGTTCTAGCGATATGTTAAGAAACCTAGGTACAACAGCCACCAACCATGCAACAACCAACAACTGTACCACCTCGTCCACTAGTAAAGTTACAACAGCCACAGTGGGTACAACAGCCACAGTGGGTACAACAGCCACAGTGGGTACAACAGCCACAGTGGGTACAACAGCCACAGTGGGTACAACAGCCACAGTGGGTACAACAGCCACAGTGGGTACAACAGCCACAGTGGGTACAACAGCCACAGTGGGTACAACAGCCACAGTGGGTACAACAGCCACAGTGGGTACAACAGCCACAGTGGGTACAACACCAACTGCGAGTACAATAGCCATTGCGGGTACAACAGCCACTGCGGGTACACCAGCCACTGCGGGTACACCAGCCACTGCGGGTACAACAGCCAGAATGGGTACAACAGCCAGAATGGGTACAACAGCCACTGCGGGTACAACAGCCAGAACGGGTACAACAGCCACGGTGGGTACGACTGCCAACACGGGTACAACAGCCACTGCGCGTACAACAACCACAGCGGGTACGACAACCACAACGGGTACAACAGCAACAGCAGGTACCACAGCCACAGTAGGAAAACCAACCTCAGCGGTTCAAGCTGTCACAGCGGGTAAACCAGCCACAGAGGGTAAACCAGCCACAGAGGGTAAACCAGCCACAGCAGGTAAACCAGCCACAGCGGGTAAAACAGCCACAGCAGGTAAACCAGCCACAGCGGGTAAACCGGCCACAGCGGGTACAACAGCCACAGCGGGTAAACCAGCCACAGCGGGTACAACAGCCACAGCGGGTAAACTAGCCACAGCGGGTAAACCAGCCACAGCGGGTAAACCAGCCACAGCGGGTAAACCAGCCACAGCGGGTACACCAGCCACAGCGGGTACACCAGCCACAGCGAGTAAACCAGCCACAGCGGGTAAACCAGCCACAGCGGGTAAACCAGCCACAGCGGGTACAACAGCCACAGCGGGTAAACCAGCCACAGCGGGTAAACCAGCCACGGCGGGTAAACCAGCCACGGCAGGTAAACCAGCCACGGCGGGTAAACCAGCCACGGCGGGTAAACCAGCCACGGCGGGTAAACCAGCCACGGCGGGTAAACCAGCCACGGCGGGTAAACCAGCCACAGCGGGTACAACAGCCACAGCGGGTACAACAGCCACGGCGGGTAAACCAGCCACGGCGGGTAAACCAGCCACGGCGGGTAAACCAGCCACAGCGGGTAAACCAGCCACAGCGGGTAAACCAGCCACAGCGGGTAAACCAGCCACAGCGGGTAAACCTGCCACAGCGGGTAAACCAGCCACAGCGGGTAAACCAGCCACAGCGGGTAAACCAGTCACTGCGGGTAAACCAGCCACAGCGAGTAAACCAGCCACAGCGGGTAAACCAGCCACAGCGGGTAAACCAGCCACAGCGGGTAAACCAGCCACAACAGCCACAACAGCCACAGCGGGTAAATCAGCCACAGCGGGTAAGCCAGCCACAGCGGGTACAACAGCCACAGCGGGCAAAGCAGCCACAATGGGTGCAATAGCCACAAATACACCAGTCTTAAGCAAAGACAACAGGGCAACGAGTATCAACACATTGCCCACCAGCACAATAGCCCCGGACACAACAGTCACCAGCAAAACCACTGGCAAAACGGTCCCTGGAAAATCCTCTGATACCAGAGCCATCAGTGGTAGTATATCGGCTATCGGCACACCACCCATCTGCAGTACTCCATCCACAGGCACACCACCCAACGGCACACCAGACACCAGCACACCAGCCATCGGTACTTCATCCACAGGCACTCCAGCCACCGGCACATCAGCCTACAGCACTACTCCGCCCACGGGCACACCAGCCATCGGCACTCCAGCCATCGGCACTCCAGCCATCGGCACTCCAGCCATCGGCACTCCAGCCATCGGCACTCCAGCTACCGGCACTCCAGCCATCGGCACTCCAGCCATCGGCACTCCAGCCACCGGCACACCAGCCACCGGCACTCCAGCCACCAGCACACCAGCCATCGGCACTCCAGCCATCGGCACTCCAGCCATCGGCACTCCAGCCATCGGTACTCCAGCCACCGGTACTCAATCCATCGGTACTCCAGCTATCGGCACACCAGCCACCGGCACTACTCCGTCCACAGGCACTCCAGCCATCGGCACTCCAGCCATCGGCACTCCAGCCATCGGCACTCCAGCCATCGGCACTCCAGCCATCGGCACTCCAGCCACCGGCACACCAGCCACCGGCACACCAGCCATCGGCACTCCAGCCACCAGCACTCCAGCCATCGGCACTCCAGCCATCGGCACTCCAGCCACCGGCACACCAGCCATCGGCACTCCAGCCATCGGCACTCCAGCCATCGGCACTCCAGCCATCGGCACTCCAGCCATCGGCACTTCAGCCACCGGTACTCCATCCATCGACACTCCAGCTATCGGCACACCAGCCACCGGCACTACTCCGTCCACAGGCACTCCAGCCATCGGCACTCCAGCCATCGGCACTCCAGCCATCGGCACTCCAGCCACCGGCACTCCAGCCATCGGCACTCCAGCCACCGGCACTCCAGCTATCGGCACTCCAGCCACCGGCACTCCAGCCTGCGGCACTCCAGCCACCGGCACTCCAGCCATCGGCACTCCAGCCATCGGCACTCCAGCCATCAGCACACCAGCCATCGGCACTCCAGCCACCGGCACTCCAGCCTGCGGCACTTCAGCCATTGACACTCCAGCCCCCAGCACTCCAGCCTGCGGCACTCCAGCCTGCGGCACTCCAGCCTGCGGCACTCCAGCCTGCGGCACTCCAGCCATTGGCACTCCAGCCATTGGCACTCCAGCCATCGGCACTCCAGCCACTGGTACACAAGCCATAGACACACCAGCAGTTGGCATCACACCAGCCACCACCAGCACATCAACAACCGGCACACCAGCCACCTCCAGCACATCAACAACCGGCACACCAGGTGATAGTGCAGATGGTGTCAGCAGCCATAGCACCATGGACATCACAGCTGCAGCTTCAGAGGCCAGAGGATTCCGCGCCTCTGATCGCACTCGCAGACTGCCAACAGCCTTGCTACAGCTACGGGACATTCTTGTGGAGGAATATCAGACAGCCACTGTCAAGTTACAGCAAGGAATGATGGCCGATGGGTTGGACCCGACTGTTGCAAACGTCCAGGTCAAACTTGTGCTCTTATCTCGGCATCAACTTCAAGGCGAGTTCAGCGATGCTCCGCTCTCCTCACAGGATGACCAATGGCGAGTTGAACATGTGTTCACCCAAGCAGCCAGCTGTCTAGAACATGTTAATCTGGATGACCTCTTCAGCAGCATAGCACAGGACAGATATGCAGAGGGGAAAACCTACGGCATCACCATCATTGCGTCTGCCGGCTGCGGAAAGACATTCACCTTTACGAGGTTTGTGCCTTTCCAGTGGGCAAACGGTCAGCTGTGGCAGCAGTTTGACCTTGTTGTCTTCAAAGAGTTACGCTATGAGGAAGACAGACAGGCCAGAAACATTGAGGAACTGCTTGACCTGGACCAGTACGGCTTCAAAACGGAAAAGCAGCGAGCTGAAATCACTAATTACGTACGCCAGAACCCTGGACGACTATGTGTGGTGTTCGATGGCCTTGACGAGACAAAGCTAAGGAGCTGCAGCAAATTCGTGCAGCAGATTCTGGCCGGTGAGCGTCTTAAAGGCGTTCGGCTTGTCGTAACGTCACGGCCATGCCCGGATGCGGTGACAGTGTCCAAGTACAGTGGATTCCAGCAGCACGTGGAGCTAGTCGGTTTCCGGCCGGAGGACGTGGAGGTGTATGTACGCAAAGTGCTTGTGGCACAAGAAGCCGACGTGGTCATGGCAGCTGTCAACGATGACCCACACCTAGCTGGCATCATGTCCACGCCTCTCATCGCCACGGAAACCGCCAAACTCTACCACAGTAGACGACAGGTACCCAGGTGTGCCTCCGACATCTTTACAATGCTCCTCCTCCAGGTTGCAGAACGGCGTACTGGACACGACTACGGCCAATGGCTTGACATTCCACGCCACCTTCGAGCGCACATTCTCGAGCTCGCCCGTTTCGCATTCAACATGTTGATGCAGCAACGCCTTGTCTTTACAGAAGCTGATCTGCAGACACATTGTGTCAGTGAAGAGGCCCGAACGCTAGGACTGCTAGTATCCTCCGAACAAGCAAGTAAGAGCAAATATTGGCGCTTCAGCCATCTGGCCATGCAGGAGTACTTGGCAGCAACGTACCAAACGCGCTACAAGGTCATGACTGAGTCACACATCGTGCGCCTCGTCGAGTCCCTTGGCCCCGACACTGGTCACTGTCGCACAATGTGGATATTTCTGGCTGCAGAGCTCGATACTGACTTACTAGAAGTCCTTGTCAATTCTCTTCTGCTCCGACAACACACACGTAGCTGGGAAACTCTCGTGGATGGTGATGATGACAATGAGGAAGAGGAAAGTACGCAGGCTTCAAGTCGCAACCAGTTTCCACTCAATGCTGTCGAGTCACTCAGGGAAACACTTAGTACTACCGAGTGCTACCACCTTGCAGAGGTGCTACTCTTCGATGTGCTCGGTAGCACCAGTGGACAGAGTTTTGTTGAAAGCTCTCTACCACGAGGCAAAGACAGCATCGAAGACTTCCTCTCCATGCTCCTTCTGACATGGACAAGAAAGGTTCCGAATGCAGACATGACAATGTTGCTAGCAGCACTGGATGCCGTCACACCGGGGCTGGCCAGCAAGTGCAACATACAAAGTTCTACCCTCGAGTCCAATCAACGGCATCGTAACCATGACACCAGCAGTGTCAGCGGTAACCATAGAGACGACTGCACAGATGAAGCAAGAGCTCAAGAACATGCTGTGGAGAGTAGTGGTATACACGGCACCACCAGAGCCTCCAAGGCCACAGCCCTACAGCAACTCTTCTCATCAGAAAACTTCAAACACAGGAACAGACGCAATCGGCTGGATATCGCTACGGAGTGCTATGCAGAGCACTGTCGCCATCGTCCCGAGCACTGCCAAGCCTTGCCCAGCTTGACTGCTGTTTTAAGCCAGAGTGAATGTGTCATCTACTTGGATGCAAACAAGCCAGCTGCTCTGCGTGCACAGGACACCGTAATTGAACACCATGCACCGGCAGTTCATACCATAACAGTGCGTAACGTCAGGCCACGCCATTCCTGCCGGCTGCCTCCTTCATTAGCACTGTGCTCACAAGTCACTGGCTTGACGATAGACATACACAGTGACATGGGTGCAGCACAAGCAGATACAGTAGGTCACATGATCAGGGCTGCTGCGCAAACTTTCCAACACATCACCCTCGGTGGCACCCTTCTGTCTAGTACTGCAGCAGCTACCATTATCACTGCCCTATCTGAGTGTCACCAGGTCAAGACATTCTCCTGCGGGGACATGGGTCTAACAATTTTCATTGTACATTGCGACATGCTGAGGTCATTCATAGAGACGGCCAAGCATCTGCAAACCTTCCAGCTATGGGGATCACTAGTACCTACAGGTACCATGGCGACACTCATTACATCACTGACAATGTGCGCCACACTGACGAATGTCATACTGTGTAAATGCAACCTACAAGCATCCGCATTACCGATCCTAGCTACTGCCATTAGGCACTGGAGAGATCTAAAGGAACTTGACATTGTAGGCAATGACTTCAGTCAGGCCACATCTGCACAAGCCGTGGAGTTTGTCACCGCAATGAACACACATGATCACACTGCCATTATTCTAAGGATAGCACAAAACGATCAGTGCAATCACCCTTGTGTTGCATGTGAGAAGAGAAAAGAATGCCACTACAGATACACCATCAGCTGCAAAGGCATAGCTACCGATCCGCCTGACTGCAAAACCTGCCGCAGTGGCAAACGGCACTATGCTGTTGACGAAGGGAAAGTCATCCCGCCACCCAGCTCTCCCAGCTGCATCTGTTACCCAGGTTTCTACAACGACAACATCACAGTGTGGAATTACGAACTGTAAGCCCGCATCCTAAACAGATCCCGGCAACCACCAGCACTGCTGACACCACTAGCATCCAACAGCCGTATTGCCATGTGCTGGTTCACAATCATGCTTGGAGGACACACCGACGTGTGTTCCCAACTTGACGCCAGTGGAGAGGACTGTCAAGCTCACCCAGAGTGCCATGGCCTGACCAACCGGACTGGCTCTACCAGGCCCGGCAAACAGCCACAAGTGAAACAGTGTGCTACATCGTGCCATCGTTCAGCTGAAACCCCTGCCCAGTGCACACTTCTACGCATGTGTAAGCTGAGCGTGGTCGTCAATGGAGCCCACGCTGCCGTCTCGTCTGAACTTGACAGAAGAGAAAATGTTGGAAGGCGATCGAGAGCGCTGTCCGTCTTTCAGATGTGACACGTGTCCAAGACACACACTTCATAGATGTGCATGTGCGTGCGTGTGCGCCCGTGTGTGCACGGGCATGCTTGTACGCCCGTGTGTGCATACGAGTACCCTGCCTACAAGCATCAGAGTAGATTTTTTTTACTCTGCGTCCGCTAAACACCCCATACAATTCATGCCTCCCCATTACTCAACAACACACTCCTATCATCATCCTAATGACCTCACACTGATTCAAATCATCATGATGACCATGGCGATAACCAAGATGCACCCTGTACATAGTCTCCTTCGTTTTAACTGTCACCATAGCAACAGTGCAATTGAGAAAAGAGCATCCTGGCACACACCATGATTTCCTTTTTTCCGGATTTTTAGTATTTTATTTCTTACTTCACTCTGGTCTTTGGTTTTGAGGGAAGCATTGGATGCAGTGAATGGAATCTTCGGTCTTTGACCACTTCGGTGGGTCTGATCTCCTCACCTCCTATCGCTTAGGAGCTGCATATGCGCCTTGATTCTTGAAGGGTGGTGGCGTTCCTACGGATGCGGAAAACTCGGCATCTAGCCGAGTCTGACGCAAACCGTGAAATCTTCTTTTTTTTCGGTCAAGAAGTTGATGTGAAAGAAGGCAGTGCAAGGTGTGCGCTAGTACTAACCATGACAGGCTTATAACATTCCTAGATTGGCATTCACATGTGGTGGTGAACACTTCCCCGCACACGCGTTCAGTGATGGCAAACCCAGTCTAGCTGAGTCTCACATGAGGTCCACTGTAGCAGAACGTGCTCAAACCGTGAACGGTGCTTGAAACCAAGATCGCAGAATAGGGCGGTCGAGAAAATGCATATTGGACCGCACCAAATTCCACGCCTTTGCTGTACCTGCTTCCGCCAATTTCCCAGCCGTTGGCAAGGGAACCGAGAAAGCATGGTGTGACGAAAACTTGGGCATGGTGTGCTGGCACCCAGGCAAGCTTCTTTGTGCAAAATGCGTTCACTCTCGGTGGGGTTAACGCGGACATACACGAGAAACATATTCCTAACCGATGGAAAACATGTAAATTGGGCAAAACAGTCTAATGTGTCCACGTGGAAGAAGCCCTTCTCATCAGACAGACACTGCCACATTCAGGACCAGTGTCGTCCCACAGTGGAAGTTTTCAATTGAAAATTGCTGTGGTGAATTCTGTGATCAGATCATGTTCCGGTCCAGAATGAGCATGCCCCCCCCCCCCCCCCTATCCTGGGCGACAATACAGGATGAGTATTCTTGCCCCCTTCCCGGCAGCCAATAGAGGAAAACTATGCCAGCCACCCCCTCCTCCCGGGGGTCTACAGGATGAATATGCCCCCCCCCCCCCCCGCACCCCCAGGCATGAATCTTCAGGCACATACCGTCTGCAAGAAGCTCTCCGTGGCCAGGAAGGCGGCAGACTTCATCTCACGATTGTGGTGACGGCACGCGTTGCGCAGCCACGTGTACAGGATCTTGTAGCGCGACTTGACGAGCTCCTTGAACTGGATGCAGTGCTTCGACAGCAGCATGAGACCGGCTGTGCCAGATATAGACGTATTCACATGCAGAGAGTGCGCGTGCACACACAGCCATACACATACAGGAACACGTGAAACACACACACACACACACACACACACACACACACACACACACACACACACACACAATAACAAAATACAATACCACGCAAATACAACACAATACAATACAATGCAATGCCCATCCGGAGATGATGGCAGGTCCGGATGGGACCGACAGTGTTCAAGTCACAAGCAGAATCGGGCATGGCAAGTCAAGTCCGAACAATGGCAATCCACAATGCATCGTCCAAGGCAAGAAACAACACTCCTGATATAAATAAAATAAAATAAAATAGCAAACAGGACCAGCGGAAGCAGTGTTTTAACGGTCTGACAATAGACACCCTTAGCAAAAAACGTTATGTTGTAACGGTATTATCGTAAGGGGGAAAATACCGTGGTTTGGGTTCGACCTTTAGCAAGATGCACGCTATTTTTAGTACGCTGTTGCCACGAGAATAGCTTTGATTTCGCGCGGTACAACCATTTTTGTCACCATATACGCGATACAAGGTGAAATGCGTGCGGACTATGCAATATTTGGCCAAAACACGTACCGTTGGTCATCACGATAAATCAGCCCCCATAACGTTTATACGCTGCAGCTTCAACGCTATTTGGGTGATCAAGGTACGAGTATCGTAAAAAAAATAGCGTTACCGTTGTTTGCTAAGGGTGTCTATTACCCTAGCCTTTCACGCTAAAGATTGGTCCTGCCATGGCCTGACCAACCGGACTGGTTCTACCAGGCCTGGCATTGCTGGTAAACAGCCACAAGTGAAACAGTGTGCTACATGCTTGCTGCTTGCTAGGCAAGTGCCTACGGAAGCCCTTCCTGGCCTTCACCACACAGAAAGGACCCCGGAAAGGCAGGAAAGAGCTGGAATTCAGAACTCCGGAAAACGCAATCATCTTCTTACGCGTGCGCGCACGCCCACCCACACCCACACATGCGCGCACACAGACACGCACGCACGCACGCGCGCGCGCGCACACACACACACAGGCGCACGCGTTAGCATGGACACCCACAAGCACACATAGACTGTATGTCAAAAGTATAGCTTTCACTCACCTCTTGGCACATCAAATCGACTCATTGTCGCTAATGACTGAACATAAAGAAACAAAGCAAAGCGCAAAGTACAGTCGAATGTCACTTATCCGGTCGCCTACTGTATCCGACAAGCCCGGGAGTGGTAATTTTATGACTCTCAACAGTAAAATTCTTAAAAAAATCTTTTTTTGTATATTATACGGTGTAATATGCATTTACTTGAAGTAGATGTGGTCAAGTATGCTAACATGTATGTGTACATGGAGCAATTCATGAATATGCATGATATATTTGGGTATTGTGTAGAGGGGACGGTTTCAAATAGGACACAGGTTGCAAACCGGAACGGACTCAATATTCACTTTCTCTCTTGGTATTTTGATTAGAAACATACGTCACAGTGAGACTACGATGTGTTATACTCCGAGCCAAAATGTCATGGCTCTGCGATGACCAGAAGCGCCATATCAAGCAGGTGAGTTGTTGACGTGTTGCTTCGACCTGCGACTTGAGTTTTACGACTTTCGAAAAATCAACTTCTTGTCGCAGGTAAACAGCGGCTCGCCTCTCGCCAATAAAGCACCGCATACCAATCAAAACTAATGGAAGCACACACAAGGCTTATTGTTACTCTGTACTGGCCGTCGTGGAGCGATAGCAATTACCTAATTTCAGACCCAGAGTGAATTTGACGTGCACTCTAAAACGTGTCCGGTTTGGAGCCACCTCTGATTTGAACTTTTTTGAAGCGAAAAATTGGGCAACTTGGAGGCAATGGGTCAACACAAAGGAGTGGCTCAGTTCGATTGACTCTGGCCCCAGAGCAAACTTCAACATGCCAGTTTCCTTCCACAAACAGATTTCGAGTGAAAAATCAACGCTGATGATCGGTTTGGGTCTATACAAATTTGGCTGTCAAAGCGTCCCGGTATCGAGCCGTCCCCTCTACATAAATCAGTGAAATCCAGCCATATATGCACATAAAAAATGATATCAGTCATCCAACATATCCAGTTATCCGACATGCCTGATTCCCGAAGTGGTCGGATAAGTGACATTCGACTATATCAACATAAGCCATGCTCTGGATAAGTATGCATATGAAGAGAGTGCATGTGTGTGCGTGCGTGCACACACACACACACACACACACACACACACACACACAAAGCATTAGCAATTGAGCAACTGAAGGAGAGAGAGAGAGACACACACACGCACACACACACACGCACGCACGCGCGCGCGCACACACACACACACACACAGACACCGAGAGACAGAGAATGCTACGCAGCACTTTGAGTTAATACCTTGGGATCGATGGATATCGTGGCAAACTTGAAGATGTGCGCCGCATGCGGACTGTTGTCCTCCATGGACTGAGTGAAATTTGTCAAGTAGCTGGACAGGCCACGCAAGCACCCTGCTATGACAGGCATGTCTGGCTTCTTGTTCGTGAAACCACCGGCACCAGCAGCACTCGATGCACCTCCGCCGCCGCCACCAGCCGATGCCTTGCTGCCTAGCATCTGAGAGCGACACCAAAACAGCGACAGTGACAACGGTGCTGCATTACTCAATCAGCTGCTTAGAACGGTGACGGCACATCACGCAACCACATCACTACAGTTGCCTGTTTTAGTGAAGCGAGACCATGCATGTGACAGGAAAAATGAATCACACCCCAAATATCCACCAACACGCAATTGGAGGGCGGGTGGGACACGGTATACACATACTAGGCTGGGTGCAGAAGTGCATAACAGAGACTACACGGTATCTCTCATACCAGTTGCACTGTCCTGCTCTCCATGCTGATTGGATACGTCTTATCTGAGCTACGCAATACGCACTACGTGATACGCAGTACCCGCTTGATAACAATTAATGAATTATGAGCATACTGCCTTGACCCCAACCTCACACCATAGGTAAATGTACTGTACATGCCTTAGGGGTCGTCCGTAATTTTCGAAAAATTAAAAAATCCGTCCTCGTGCAAAATTGTCTCTGACCCACCCACCCACCCCCAATTTTTCCCATTAATTTTTTGATTTTTACCGATGCCCAGCTCGAAAAATAAGAACTCCTGACCCCACGTTTTCTTGAAGTACTAGTAGCTAAGTACAGTGAGTAGTAGGTCTACCAACGGCCATGCACGTCCTCGTACAACTACATGAAAAGTCTGAAAAGCTACACTCTGCGTATATACTGCTCTTGTGTGGCTTCCACGGCATTCGTTGTTATTACCTGACGATGGCCAAGTGCCGAAACGTTGTAAAAATAACGGAACTGGTTCGGATGTGATGTGCAGCGCTATGGGCATGGGTGTGTCCACCCGAATTCTTTTCACAGATGAAGCTGCAGGAAGCCTCAGCCTTTCTTCAAACTGAAATGTCATGTACCGGTATATCATAGTAGATACTCGTGTTTGCGACAATCGATCCTACACTACGTCTACAGCAGGGAGTCGTAAATACCGGTATTTTACGACTCCCTGGTCTACAGACTACAGTACACTACACAGTCAGTGCAACAAGTGTATGAAAGTCCTGGCCTGGAGCAAAAAAAAAAAAAAAAGTACGAAAAATCAAAAAAATTAATTCCGCCAGCCCTCTTGACCACCCACCCCCTTTTTGCCTGAGGACGGATTTTTTAATTTTTCGAAAAATACGGACGACCCCTTATATAACGAAGTGCTAAATCTAACGAATTAACAAGAAGAAATCTGTCGTTAAATGGAAACGTTACACAGAAATCGACACTTATACTGTTGCTAGTGAGCGCTGAGAATGAGTGAGAATCGTTGCCTTTGGTACACGTAAACCGGTCAATTTTAGGAAAACGTTACTGTAGTGGCTGGTTAGAATAATGGCTTTTACAGTCGTTCCGACCCACCTCCTTCTGCAGCACCTTGACATAAATACTGATGAGACGTTCCGAGTATGGCAACATCTGCACTGGGAACGTCTCGGCGATGCAGCCCAAAATGTGATAGAGCCCTCCTTGAACTTCAGACGCGAGCATGAACAGGGATAAACGTGCACACACACACACACACACACACACACACATACACACACACACGCACACACATATACACGTGCACGCATTCGCACAAGCCCACACACACACACAACCCCCCACCACCACACACACACACACATACACACACACACACACACACACACACACAAATACACACAAATACACACGCAGAACGCAAGGGTTAATTGGACAAGAAAAAGAAAGAGACCAGGAAGATGCTTAGAAGTCTGAGAAACTAAGCTTTCTCCATGCATACTTTTCGCCACACATCTGCACCAATTGACAGCAGAGAGATGTAAGACTACTAACTGTTACTGGCACTGTCTCGGTGCTGAAGAACTGGGGGATTCAGAGACGTAGCCTACACCCCATTCTTATCTTTCATGTAGAACTGTCATCAGTCAACTCCTGATATAACGAACACCAACGTGCAGGAGAATTACAGTCCGTATCGCCTATAAGGTTGGCGGCTATAGTAATATACCGGCTATAGTGATCAATTTCTCAAATTCATTTTCATTTGCCATACCTAAGTATACACAGTTATCGCATATAGTAATAATCGTCTATAGTAATATATCGCCTATAGTGATCAAATTTTTATTTCAAAAGACCTTTATTACATTATTTTTGCATCGGTTATAGCGATTGGTGTAAAATCAAGTGTTATGAAAGGAGAACAGGGTGTTACTTCTTGGTGAAGAACTTGTCCAGTGTTGTTTGGTGAGTTCTGCTCGTACAAGTTGCCAAATATGCCTCCATCGTGAGGAAATGCTGATGTTGCGTGTCAGGAGCCTTGGCTGCATAGAGTGCGTTTCTCAATGTGTCCAACGCTTTGAACACCTCTGCGGATGATGGCGGCTTTGTTGGAAGATCTTCCTGATCATCATCATCTTCATGGTCAGTATCATCGCCTGCTAACTGCGCAACAATAGTTGTGGCATCCTCAGATGGCGGACATGAGGTAGGTTCTGCATCATCCCGGTCATTCAGCTCTTCAATGTCTTCCGCTAACTGATCAGTGACAATAGGAGGTTCGTCTTCATCAGGATGATCAGCATCAGTATCATCTATGGTGGCCGAACCATCCTCAGTAGCATGAGCGGGGGGAACGAGCCTAGCCTTGCGCCAACAATTACGGATAGCTGTTTCTGTAACGCCTTCCCAAGCTGTCCTGGAAAACTGCAAACAGTGCATCATGTTGATATTCTGCCGTAGAACAGTGGAGCTCACAACTGGCACAGAATCATCCTCAACCAGCCTGCCGACCTTTGTTAGCAAGGATCGTCGGTAGTGAGACTTGAAGCACATGATGATTCCTGCATCACATGGCTGAATTACACTGGTGGTGTTGGGAGGAAGAAACACCACTCGCACCGACTTGAGGCTATCTGCAATTGCGTCAAACTTGTGTGCTGGACAGTTGTCGACTAGCAGGACGATGGATTTGCTAGCTTTTGTGAACTTATCATCCAAATCTACAAGCCAACTGCAGAACAACTGGCTGTTCATCCAAGCCTTGGGATTGCTTTCCCACTTGCCCTTCAGCACAGCAGCCGGAGTAGTGTTGGCTGCTTGGAAAGCACGAGGCAGCTTTGAAGATCCTATCGCCAGAAGGGGAAGCTTCGAACCATCCATACAGGTGGTGATGGCGAACGTCACTCTGTCCTTCTGCGTCTTGCCACCTTTCAGCTTCTCATCGGCGCGAGCCAGTGTCCTGTTCGGCAATGCACGCCAAAACAAGCCCGTTTCGTCCATGTTGTAAACACGGCTCGGATCACTATCGACACTGGCGAAAATCTCTGGCCACTTGTGATTTACAAAATGAACTGCTGCGGCCGAATCCGCGTCGGCTGCTTCTCCATGCAGCATTTTGGACACGATGCACCGCTTCTTCAGAAAGCGCTGGATATGCGACTTCCAGGCGGTGTCTGTTGAAGGCAATGACGATCGTGAAACAAGTTTCTGCTCCACGAGTGTGTCGGCAATCTCCTTGCCTTTCACGATAAGCATGTCGTAATTTATTGCCTTCAGGTTCTTCATCCTACACCTGTCATAGAATGTTTCCAAGCCTTTTTCTAACAGTTCGCAGTTCGTCTGACGGTTCTTCATCAACTTGGCCGTGCCCTTTGCTGCCATCTCGAGTGTCGCTTCTTTCCGCTTGAGGATGGACGATACAGTCGGCTGGGCAACTCCAAAGTGACGAGCGACATCGGCTTGACTCCTCTTGGGGTTGTCGCTTACGTACTTGATGACCTTCAGCTTTTCATCGACTGACATCGACTTCCGAACTGAAACCTGCTTAGCCATCGTTGCGGCGTCAAACGTTGATGTCCTTTCAACAAAGCGTTCAAACCAAGTTCTTTTCAAACTAACTTCGCGAAGGAACTACGACAATAGCAGCTGTGCGAGAGCCTTTTTGTTGGGAGAACGAACTGCATCCCTGCCATGCATGCCGCGTACAAGTCAGATGTAAAATTTCCCGTACGGTACCGTGCATGCATGTGTACACAGGACGTAGAATCTAGCTACGCACTACGCTAGCCAGCTGTGTAGTACGTAGAGTCAACGAGTACGGCGCGCTGAGTCGTTTGACACCCCACTCGCATACATTGCATGCAGTATCGGTCATAGTAATATATCGCTTATAGTGATAAAATGCTCAAAATCAAACACCAACGCTATAGGCGATACTGACTGTAGTTCTTTATAGCACAGCCAAAGTTTGTTATAACAGAAATAGAAATGAACTTACACCGTGGGTTCAAACTGGGACATGGACAACGGTTCACTATATCACAAAATTCGCTATATGCGAGTTTATTGTAAGTGGAGTCGGCTGTATAGCTGGTCCACTGTGTACATGGAGGTATCCTGTACATGGTAAAATTCTAGCCCGTTCGTTCTTCAGCGTTCCACCCTACTGTAGTGAAGAGACATGCACCCGAGAGTGATGCAGTTAGCATGTGTGTGTGCATGTGTGTCTGTGGCCGTGTGTGTGTGTGCGCGCGCGTGCGCGTGAGTGCATGCAGGGATACGTATGTGTATGTGCATGCATGTGTGTGTGTATGTGCATCCCGTCACCTACCTGATGCAGACAGCTTGGTGTTGGAGCATGACATAAACAATTTGTCTATGACCTTGGCGATGTTCAGTTCATCAGCAGTAGAAGTGTTGGCGCAGGCTTCCAGCACCTAATACGATATGTGTGAGTGTGCGTGGATGCATGAGTGTGTGTAATAAAACAAGCATACACACACATACACACACACACACACGCACGCACGCACGCACGCACACACACACACACCACACCACACACACAGCAATTGGTTTACAAACATGAACACACAGACACACGCACACACATAAACACAGGCACAACCCCCCCCCCCCCCCCCCCCCACACACACACACACACACACTGATACTCATGCCCATCGCTGAAGCAATGATAGTGAACAAGCTATGTTAGACATAGCAACTTGTGCTGGGATTACACCATTCGAACAGCTTGCACGGCTGATGAATTGACCGCCACTAATTTTAGCCTGGCCTACACCACACAGCTGGTTAACCTTTTGCGCCCGGGCGCTAAATCCACAGATTCCTGCCACTGGTCGCGCTGCGACACGCAAAAGTCCCAGTATACATTTTGAAAATTATCTAATTTCACTCACCAGTTTCGTAATTTGTTCATCTTGGTCTCATTGGAAAGCTACAGATCTCCTCTCTCTCTCTCTCTCTCTCTCTCTGGATATCACCACTAGACACCCAGTACGAGCAACACAATCGCTTTCAAGCCTATTGAGAGCTGACCTATTGCGCCTGAGCGAGATTCTGTATCCACCTCCACAAATTTTATCGTTTCTCAAGTTTTACTCCACGTAGAACGATCTTTCAAAGTCCTGCAGATTCATGAAGCTCATGCGATTCATTTGGTGTCTACTTCGCATGCGCCGTGCAGCAATGAGTCACAGGGAAAGTCCCCTTTTGAGGCACGCCGACGCACTTTGAAGCGCTCTGCGCATAAACAATTTCAAGCGTCGCGCTATATCAAACGACCTTTTACTGGAAAGCTCATTCTCTCACCTTCCCAATGAGCCGTCATTCGCGACAATCGGATAAAGGACAATGGAGTTACGGCAATTTGAACAGTGATAATGTATATGCACTGTACAAGTATGTGCTTTTACTTGACGCACATATGCGGCATCAGGAAATCAGGGTATGACGTTTTTTGACGCATATGTGCGGCATCAGTCCGCAAAGGGTTAAAGTGGCTTTTTCTGGCCAGTGAATCTCTATTTTTCATTTCTTGTTTTCTTGTTTTCACGCACACATACACACCACACCACATACTCCGGCATGCACGGGCTCACGGCTGTTATGGGGAGGTCACTTGGCAAGATGGCGGCGACCTGTAGCAACGCCCCTGGCAACAGAGGTCACACGGATAGCGTGGGTACGCTCATCGCATTTTTCAAATTTTCATGATCATTTCTGCAGAAAGAAAAGGTTCAGTCACTTCGAATACTTGAAATAGTACTTTTAAGGATTTCGTCTCTTCAGTCTCTTGCTCGTCAAAAAATGTTGTTGGAGGCAGCTGTGCTCCGCGAAGTGCAACGGATACCGCTCAGTAGCAGATAAAGGAGATGTGCTTCGCAGGACTCTTTCGCAAAATGACGACCTGCGCCTAGGCGCCTCGGATCGGAGGAGAACTTTTTGTCAAGTTTACTCAATCTCCGGACAGCTATAGCTGTTTCGACCTTGTTAGGTCTCATCAGCGGAGTTCACAGTGTGTGGCCGAACAGATCAGCAAGAATTAGTTTCAACCCTGTTACAGTGTTAGGTCTCATCAGGGGAGCTCAGAGTGTGTGGCCGAACAGATCAGCAAGAATTAATTTCGACCTTGTTAGGTCTCATCAGCGGAGCTCAGAGTGTGTGGCCGAACAGATCAGCAAGAATTACTTGACCTTGTTAGGTCTCATCAGAGGAGCTCAGAGTGTGTGGCCGAACAGATCAGCAAGAATTAATTTCACCCTTGTTAGGTCTCATCAGAGGAGCTCAGAGTGTGTGGCCGAACAGATCAGCAAGAATTAATTTCAACCCTGTACAAGGAAGGACATGGCACTCGAGAAGGTGAAGCTTAGGAGTCACATTGCCTAACTTGCGTGCCAGAACCTCCGCTCTGCAGGTGGCCATGAAGGTGTGGATGGCATCACCCAGAACCTGCCTTGTTGCTGTTGTAAAAACCAGCTTGCCGCTGAACAGCTTGCGACATGCTGCATACTCTGTGAAGAGTCTCGAGTAGCGATCTCTCAAGGACTTTGCCTGGGCAAGCAGCTGAACCTCGCCGCTGTCCGCAGGTGTGCGGCTGTGCACGACTGTAAGGGGAACAGAAGTGAGGGCAGCAATGACATCCGGTTTCAACGCACGGTGTATGTGGTTGCCGACAAATGCTCCGGAGTGATATGCTTGCCGCTTTATTTGGTACTGTGGCAGTACTGCTTCCAAGGAAGTTACGCACGGGCCAGCTGCTTTTTTTTAAATCTTTTACTGTTAATTTCTCATGCTCTTTTCGAGCCACATCACCTCTCATTCATCAAATTGAGTTCCTTTTCTTTCTCCTTCCATAGGAAGTGCAGATTTGATGCCACAGTCTGCAAGCCAGCAGCCACTACTTCCTGCTGCTGAATGTGCAGCGTCACACACTGCAGCTGCCTAAGAATGCTTTGTGCTTCTGACTGTAGGTGTAGTTGTTGTGTTGCTGTGTCGTGTACGTTCTTGTAGCGTCACAAACTGCAGCTGACTAAGAATGCTTTGTGCTTCTGACTGTAGGTGTAGTTGTTGTGTTGCTGTGTGCTGTGTGTTGCTGTACGTTCTTGTAGGCATTGATAGGTGCTGTAAACGCTGCAGAGTCACTGTCATCTGCAGCAAGAAACATACATTTGCTCAGTGCAATATCGATTTGATGTGCGTCAGCACAAAGTGCACCGTAAATCCAGGGATAAATCCTTAGATCTAGGTGGAGCACAGGAATACACACGTCTTGCAGCTCAACAGGAAGAATGGCTTTTCTAATCACGTTGTACCGCCATGCGTGCTGCAAGTTGGCACCTGCTGCAACGAACTCTGTATTTAAAGCATTCCGGCAGCAAGTCAGCAATTGCTTTGTATGGCGGTGATGCAATGTCGTACAGTTTCATCAGGGGAATATCCATGCCAATTGTTGCATCGTCTAAATGCAGACTTGATGGGGCTGGAGCTACATGCATATTCATATGCATGAGTTTTTTGGTCATCACACAACCATTAATACTCAGCACAGATTCAATGGCTTTCGCATGATCTCTCACAAGGTGCTGAGTTCCACGGCTAGTACTACACAACTTTTCACCGCCTAACCTGCATACCAGCTGTAACTTTTCTTGGTGTTTTTCCATTTCAAATCCACTGAATAAATAACAATTTCCACTAAATGTTGCTAGAGATTTGGACCCAGCGGGGCCAACAAGGAATCAGCGGGGCCCCAGCAGTAACAAAAAACAGCTACACAGATACTCTTCTCCTCGGCAAAACTACCCTTGACGTGACGAAAACTCGTTGAGCACCTCAAGGAGGCAACAAACTTCGGTGACTAGAACGATCGAACGGCAACAACTTCAGAGACAAATTTCCATGAAGAATGGCTTTTCTCAGCGAAGGAAAGCTCAAATTCACTACTTTTTTCTTTGGCGAAGCATGGTCAGGATGTTGCGCAACTGTAGCCACGAGGACAGCTCGACACGGTGATCAGAAGTGGTGCTTTGGAGACCCAACTGAGCAGAGATTGCGTTCAAAATACACCTCCTTGAGTACAAATTTTGAACGTTGAGAACGGGAAAGTCCCGGGAAGCGCCATCTCCTGTACAAAAACCAAGTGGGCCCGTTTTGTACTGTCGTAACAGCCGTGGGGCTGTTAGTAACCACCCAGGAGACTGAAAGAAGAGCTAGGAGAATGAGAAAGAGGAGAAAGACATGTGCGACCATACACACACACACAGACAATTATCTATCGACTTCCGACAAAAGAGTTCCAATCAGGCTGTACCGTACCAGGGAGAGGACAGGAAATGTTGACAGCTTGATCTTGGCCATGCGATCACGTACAAACAATGACATACACATGTCCTGAATACATAAGGAACACACACACACACACACACACACACACACACACACACACACACACACCACACACACACACACGCGCGCGCGCACGTACACACACACACATCAGCACGTTAGCACATGCATAAATTAGTGAAACTGGTACAGGCAAGAAACACCACGTACACATGCACATAGACATACATATGCACACATACACATGCACATACACATGCACAAAGGCACAAAGGAACATGCCCATACACATACACACACATACACACACGCATACACACACATACACACACATACGCACACATACACACACATATACGCACACATGCACATGCACATACGCACACATACACATGCGCAAAGGCACAAAGGAACATGCCCACCAGCACACACCACCAACCGTTCAAGGCTATGTGTAGCATGGGTGCCTGCACACACCAACATGTGTGGAGCATACGTGTACACACACGTGCACATACACCATTAAATGCGTACACATATGTGCATGCACATGCACATACCGACACACACACGCACATATAAACACACACACACACACACACACACACACACATGCCCTCACCTTGATATCAACGGCATACGGCAGCACTTTCTTGCCGATACGGGACAAGAACTTTTCCAGAAAGCCCAGCAGATCATGTTTAGCAGAAGTCAACTGGAACAACACATAACATGCAAAGATTCTGTCATGGAAAAATGGATGTTTCATTGCTCCCAGGCTTGGCCACGCTCCTGTGTGCTGCACTAACGAGTCAACAAAGGACGAAAAGTAGTGTGCGCAGATTGAGCACTTTGGAGTACACTGCATCTACAAGTTCGAGACAGTACAACAGAGCTGGCAGATTACTCAGATCAAAAGTGCATCACACACATAATTATATTAGTACACACATCTAAAGCAGTCGCAGGTACGGGACTTCCCCTATAGCAATGCCCTTCAACACTGCCATAGGTGGGAGCCTCACCCTAGCAATACCTCTAGATCACGTACATTGGGTCATCTCCCCTCCCCCCCCCCCCCCCCCACACACACACAGGACACGCACATCAGGTCACCTCCCCCATACAGGGCACTTACCCCCCCCCCCCCCCCAGGACACGCACAGTCATTGGATCATCTTCCCCACACAGGACACATCATGCACATCAGGTCACCTCCCCATACAGGACACATCCCCCCCCCCCCATACAGGGCACTTCCCCCCCCCCCCCCCCCCCAGGACACGCACATAGTCATTGGATCATCTTCCCCACACAGGACACATCATGCACATCAGGTCACCTCCCCATACAGGGCACATACCCCCCCCCCCCCCCCACACCTCCCTAGTACTCGCTGCATCCACAACTGAGTGCAGAAATGTTGTGATTGCGGATACCGAAGTGCCGAGATGGCGTGCCCTGATTACAAGAGTGCTCTACGGATTGACTGAAAACAGTCAGGAAAGCACAAATTTGCCCTGAATGTGTGTGCGTGCATGTGCGTGTGTGTGTACGTGTGTGCATGCATACATGCATAGCTAAACGACTTCATGCACACGCAGAGAGTGTATCGTCGTGTGTATTCACAACCGTTACCAGCACGCCGCTGCTATGCATACCTGGTCAACAGTAGCTGCTTGCCGCAGGAACATCAGAACACCACACTCCCTATCAAACAGAGTTGAGATCACCAGCGCTGTACAACAGAACGACAGAACGGCAACCACAACAAACACATGATCGATGCTGACAACGCCATCGCCATCAGGTGGTGCGTAACGAAGTTTCGTCGTAGATTTCAACGGAGAAAGGCAAGGAGGAACGGGGCTACCGTACGACAATCCGTTCATTCGGAGCATGCGTGGCAGCGGCAATTTCAGGTTTTCTGCGTGCGAGAAAACGGCCCGCAGCCATGCATACACGCACACAGTCAGTGTATGACAGTACGCACAGTACGCACATGCACGTATCGTCAGGACTACATGAAACCCAGAGTGTGCTGCTCTGACGGGGGTTGCTGTCACGGCGACATTCCATGATTTACATCGTTCTTAGTGATGTAGTGTGTGTACAAGCAGGATTCAAGCAGGTCTCTTTCTGCACAGCTGAAGCTCAGTTGTACGCACTACGCCACTTCCCACCTCAGACCTGCACCAGATATGATGCAATCGCGGAATTCCGCCGTGACAGACACCCATGCAGAAAAGGTCAGAAGCTGTACACTCTGGGTTTACACTCATACCTCGGTTATCCGGACTTCGAAGTTACGGGCACTTCGGTCTACCGGGCACTATTTGGGCGAGTTTCAGGGGAAATATTACTACTCTTTTGTCACTTTTCGTAGAAATATCGACGTCATATGCCATATCGATGGCCTTTTCCCCATCCAGATGTATATGATTCGGAGTTACGGGCACCCTCGAAGTTACGGGCAGTGTTCGGTCCCGAAGCGCCCGGATAAGAGAGGTATGAGTGTATGTACTCTTGGTATCGTACTTCACTCTGCTGCAGTAAGGTAAGCCACTAGTGAAAACTACAAACACAGGTTCCGTTGCTGGGCTCCTATTCGTTGAAAGTTGCCTCCAAGCCGCTACGTCTGAAAGTTACAGACTTTTGGCGCGTGTAACCCACCCATTTATATCATGAAATAGTTTCAGGGGAGGGGAGGGGAGTACAGGAGAGGGGGAGGGAGCACAGGAGAGGGGGAGGGGGTGTAGTGGAGGGGGGAGTGCAGTGGGAGTGGAATGTGCAGTCGGCGTGGAGAGGGGGGGGGGGCAGTGGGAGTTGAAGGGAAAGCGTGGTCGGAGCGGAGGTGGGAGGGGTTCAGTAGAGTGGAGGTGGGGGGGGGGAGGGGGGGAGGGGAGGGGGGGGGAGTTCAGTGGGATGGGAGGAGTGCAGGAGGAGAGGCGGGTAGACGGGTTACTGCAATGCAAGAAGACCCACTGCAAAGTGCAAAGCACAAATACTAGAGACGGCTTGTACACGAGATGAGCATGAAAAACGAGCACAAGTCAACTGCTCGTTCATGCCCTGGATTTGAGGATTTGCAAGAGCTCGTTTATACAAGCGCATGCAGTGCATATCTCTTCTTTTGCCGCCGGTTGCTTCGAGCAGAGTTTTGTCGTGCACTTGTTGAAAGCATGCATCGCTTGTTTTCCAACTACCTAAAGAGAGATTATAGTCATTATGCCATGGCATCTTCATCAAAAAATCCAAAAAATTGTCACAATCACGACAGAAGAAAATATGTTCACCACGATCATGCCAGATCTCTAATATTACAGTCATAGTTCAATCCAGCACTTTATAAACCGGCACCATCTTTAGACCAGCATAATTTTCAGTTACCAACATGTCCTTTTCATGCACATTGCAGCAGTAAATCAGATTTTCTGATCCAGCACCCTCCCTAATATCCAGCAGAATTTCTGAAGCACAAATGGTGCCTGATTATACAGGGGCCACTGTATATAAATGATGGAAAAGTTTACCTTCACTTGCTGCACTTTCAACGTGCAATGCCAAAGAGGCAATATCAGCTACTAAGTTGGCGGGTTCCTGCGGATCAGGTGCGGCCTTCAGGCACTGCAGCAAGCGCTGCAGACAACTGCTTATCTCCCCGGCCATTGCTGGCCGCAGAAGAAGTTACTACTAGTCCACAACTGAAGCGATTCTCTTTCGCCGCCTCAGCTCATGACAATGGGCAGAGCACAAAATGCAACAGTGCACTGAGTCGTCGCCCGCGAGTTTGCAACACTAAAGTGTAGTTTACAGTAGCTTTCTACCCATCCAGTGCTGCTAAACGACAGTGACAAGTACTCCCCTGTTCAGTGAAAACAGAATTCAGGGTCGGTTGACAATTGTTGTAACATAAAAAATAGTTCGACTTTTGTCAAGTACAGTTTTGAAACTGTTCACGCGCACGTGTGTTCGGAAGTCGCGGGAAAAACTAGAAAGGGGAAACACCGACTCTTCGCGATGTTGCCAAGTGCATGCAGTGCATGCAGCTCAGGGAGTACTAAAAAACGAACGTTTTTTAGTACTCCTTGATGCTCACGTGATGCTTCCTCACGCCATGCATTCTCGCCAGGTCGACGGTCGTATCAAGAGTTCATAACCATGAACTCTTGGTCGTATCTGGTAAATCCTATCCTATATTATAGGATTTTGGTCATATTTTTCAACTCAAAATGGGTGTGGCATGAGAATAGCAAAAAGGATGTGACCAATTCTTCCTTGCTAGGTCTTAGTAGATATCGAGAGTTGAATAAGATAATCTTTTCAAACACTAACATCTCCTTGCCCAATATTACTAAGGCCTGTGCCCTATTTTTCGAATCCTATATACATGTATAGGATTTGAGATTTTATTGGACCTTGTTTTATAACTGGTAGTTTCATGACGGCATGTGCGATATGTCGTCATGAAACCACCCCGTGCCACACCTGCAATGTTCTTCTGCACATTCACTGCTTCAGTCCTTTCCATGACAGCAGCTGAACAATTATGCTCAAATTTCCAATTATTGCTGAAAATGGGTATTCATCAGAAATATTATCGCCCTATGAATCAGGCTAAAATGTAAACATTCATGCCTCAAACATATTTACAACTTCCATGAAAACCATGATGCCGTTATTATTGGTCGTGATGACCAATAACAACGGCATACATGTAAAAGGCACACATTTTCAAATCCTATATACAGTCAACTTCGCTAATAAAGACTGCGGATATAACGACAATCCGCGAATAACGACAGAATTTCCATGCCCAGAGCAAAGTCCCACCCCACTGGAATACATTATAATGAGACTTCGGGTATAACGACACTTCGCGAATAAGGACACCTTTTTGATGCCCCGCCTAGTGTCGTTATAAGCGAAGTTGACTGTATAGGATTTTTGGCCAGCAAATTAAGAGATACGACTCCCTGATTCTCGCTGAGTGAGGAGTTTCATGCTGAAAAGCAATCCTCGGGGTTGTTTGGTCTTATTCACTATGATTGTGTTGTCAAGGGTACATGTACATAACGTGGGGGGGGGGGGGATGTACTCTTGGTTTTGTCCCATGGCGGCACATTCATCCACTGCTACCATTCTCAGATACACTGCAAAGGCTCACACTACACGCGTTATGCATAACCGCTAGCTGTGCTGCATTCTCACGCTTCTCAGTTTCATATCACTCTAGCTACTGTAAGACATGTATATATAACGAGGAAGCAAATCTAACGTTTTAACGGATGACATTTCTTCGTTATAATAAGATCCGTTGAAGCCGTACTGCTTCATATATGCTGTGTGTGGATCTGGCAGAATACTGCAAGATCGTTAACATATCTTCTCTTTAACCTATGAATTTTGGACAATCGTTAAATTTGCGACTCGTTATAATAACATGTCTTACAGTATATAACTGGTTGTTTTAGTGATTCTTACTATGTGACGATGTTCCACTGATGATAGTCACACGAAAACGTTCTGGAATTGTTTCATTTTAATTGTTTATACATGGTTATGAGTGCACAATTGATATTTTTCATTGCTATTTTACGACTGTTGTCTCCTCGTCGGTTATTTAAGTTGTATGTTGTACGTGGAAAAAGCATGCAAGCCCAGTGTGTACATTATATCTGTATGGTAATGTGTACAGACTTATATTATTGGCAGTGTCAATATATTGACACTGCCAAAATGCAGGCAAGTTTATGCCTGCAGCTAAGGGTTACACATGAGGAAGAAGGCAATTATGGAAAAGCATAACTCTAGTAGTAAAAGACAACAATCTAGTGAAATAGTTGTTTTGTCTTTCTGAAGAACACGTTAACATCAGCAGTTGAAAAAATTGACTGTAGCAATAATTTGGTGTGATGTTTAATGAAGAAGGGGTGATATGCAGTTGAACATACTAGCGTATCATTGTTCTTCTTCTTACAGTTCTTCTTCTCAGGTACTGTCGGCAGTGGATTGACAGTGGAGAAAACGGCAGCTAGGAAATCAAATGGGTAGCCGCGCAATCTGAGTCGAGACCAAAACAGACGACGAACATGTAGAATATCGTCTAACAACGTATTAGTTCTATTGTATCGATGCAATTCAGCTATGATAAATGAACGAAAGTTTGATCTGGGGTGGTCTGATTTGAAAGGAATGTAGAGATATGCGTTTCGCGGTTTCTGGTATGTTCTATAACAGAACTGACAGAGCTCAGCATCACAGAATGATTTGTAAATTTCTAAATCAAGAAAAATGCATGTGTCTTCTGCATTGGACCAAGTTAATTTTATATCTGGCAGTTCGGAATAGAGTGTGCATTTTAGGTCCTCTATTTTTAGGCTATTATCTACAACTAAAAAGAGGTCATCAATAAACCTTAGAAACAGGTGTATGGAGTTTCTAAAAGTAGAGATTGTTCTCTCTTCATGGAAAAACAAAAATGCATTTGCTACGTTTACTGCCATCGGGGTGCCCATCGCCATACCATGTTCTTGGTGGTAAATGGTATTTTGAAACAAGAAAAAGTTGTTTGTGAGCACAAATCTTACTAAATCTACAATTAAAGAACGAAGTGGGTGTTCATCTAGTAAGACATTTTTAAAAAGCAGAAACAGTGGCTGACTAGTCCATGTTTGTATAATTATAAACTTACTACATCCGCTGTAAGAAGTTTACAGTTGCTAGAGAACTGAGACTTAGAGAGGAGAGAAGTAAGAGCGACAGGATCAGCAAGGATAGTATTAGCTTTGCATTTGATAATAGATTTAAGATGGAAATCTACAAATCTAGATGCAGGTGAGGTGCAATAGCCTATGCAAGATACAATGGGCCTACCTGGAGCACCATGTGCCAGAGGTTTTTTATGTATTTTGGTAGCATGTAAAACTTGGCTGGTATAGACGGAAAACAAGCAAACATTGCTGATAAATCACGCTTCAAGTAGACAGGAGGTCCGAGTGTTGAGAACAGATATCTTTAAGTGCAGACTGAATAGAAACATCTAAACTAGATAACTGTGTGATGTCAACATTAGAACAAGAAACAGAGTAAAACTTTTTATCTGCTAATTGTCTATATCCTTCAGCGATGTAATCTTCAACATTGAGGATTACGGTTCCTAGATTTTTATCAGCATTGCATATCATGATATCATTGCGAGCTTTAAGCCTCTGCAGGGCGGGCTGTTCATCAATGGTAAGATTTGCTTTTCGATAAAGGACAGATCGAGCAATTTTTAAATCAGAAAACAAGGAGTTTTTGAACAGGATTAAAGCTGATTCTGTGTGAGGAAATGCTAAAGGAGGTGTTTTGGAAGAATGTAGATGGAAGCCAGGAATAAAAGTAGATTTTGACACTGAAGTTCTAAAATCATTATTCTCAAAACAATCTTTCCATCTAATGTTCTGTTGCAGTCTATTGAAATCAGCTGTGATACCATCTAGACTAGGCAAGCGAGTAGTGTAACGGAAGCTAGAGCCGTAACCCAATACTTGTTGTTCAACAGGGTCAAAAGAGAATTTAGACAAGTTTAATATGAAAAACAGAATTCATGACATATTTGCTGTGATCTGAAAGTTTTAAATTCCAAATATATTTAAAGCTAAGATCAGCTAATGTCTTTTCGGCTTTCAGTGGGCAACAGCCTTTTGTTTCGTGTTGCTCACTGTCACTGTCAAGTTTTTTGACAAATTCTTCTTCTTTTGCATATTCTTCATAGGGGTCTTGGTGTTCTTGATATTAGCTGGCTTTAGAGCATTGGTAACTTCCTTTCTAGTTAATGAGTTTACCAATCTCTTCAGTAGTGGGAGGCAAAGTGGTGACATCCTGCATTTTCTCTGGGACTGTTGCTTTCTTCTCTTTAAAAGAAGCGACTGGACAATGTCTCGAGTAATGTTATTGGAAGCCTTCACTGCAATAAGATATTTGAATCGGTCAACTGTTAGCTGGGACATGTCGCCAGTATCATTACTATCAGCAAGTGTATCAACGAGTCGGTCAAAGTCACAATGGGTCTTATCAAGGAGTTCTTCAGCATGAGTCTTGTGCAAATCAATTTGAACTTGAGCAAATTCACAAGACTCGCTCAATGCTGAGGCTGCTGAAAGCTTGATATACTTATTTCTTTCTCAAGAAATCAGGAAAGGTTTCCGTATTGAAAGCTAATTGCCAGGAAGTTACTTTCTTACTTTCATCAGCTAAGACTTTGCGGCTCGTAAATAGACGGTTAACAATAGCATTGACGTACCGTTCGACTTCAACAGCGGGTAGTGGCGATGCTCCTGATATGATGGAAGTAGGTTCTTCAGTGTCATCGGCGGCATCATTGGCAGTTGAATGGGTAGCATTAGCGGTGTCAACGTCTGTTGGTGGCGGGTCATCATCTGAGGCGTCGAACTGATCATCGGCATCAGTAGTATCGGAGTGGCGACGTTTCGCGGGATGATGGGAAATACCAAGAGTCTTCGGAGGCATAGTGAATTACTGAGGGTGGTGCTAGGGTAACGAAACTGAACTGAAATTTTCATGCAGCCACCGACACAGTAAACAAACCACAGATTGCATTTTGAAGTGGACCATTTCTGGTCGAAATTTTCTGACCGGTTTCGCTGTCTAAATTTCAAAAAATTTCAAAAACAAACATTAATAGGTGAGCGTTTACATGAAGACAGTTGACCCGGGTCAAATACTGATATGCCGCCAAAAGTCCACTTCTAGAGTCCTGTGTGGTCACGTGAATTCGTTCGCGCGAAATTTGCATGTGCAGTGCTGTTCAAACCTGGCGCTAGATACGCACAGAAATACGATTGTACGATTTTCTTGACCCGGGTTGAAATCAAC